TGTGTCTTTTCAAGATTATCAGTAGGAAACCACACAGTGTTACAATGTTACACAATCACACCACACACACCATGGCACCATCTGCTGCTCTCCATTTTACTTAAGAGCGCTGCTGGGTATATGAATGCTGCTATAGTGCATCAAGAAGAGCTTGATAATTCCCAGACATTCCCTATACCTGGTCCCTAATTCTCTTCCTTTATTATGTTTATGTCTGAGATCTGTTAAAATTGTGGATTTACAGGATGACAGCACAGATGTATCCATAGGAATGATTTATGGAGTGAAGTTAAATATTGTCCACAGAACACAATCTCTGGTTTTGTGCTCCTCCCCAGAGAAAAATGGTTTGCTTCTGTCTGACCTCAGCTGATCCTGGTGTTCCCTAGTGTTTACATCCACATTCCAGTGCACGGCATGTGAATCTGACCACTTAATTCCTGTGCTTGATCATACTGTATTCACACACCTCTTCAAAAACTCAAAAGGAAAAAAAAGGAAGAGAAGTTGTCATTTTTTCAAGTGCTGTTCTTGGGCCTTCATAGGCTTTTCTGGGTTTGAATCTCAAACTATGAGCAGCTTTGCTTTTCATTTTTTAGGAACTTTTTGTATCTTTCCTCAGAAAGAATCGAACAACGGCTCTGTGTAGTTAATGCTGCTCAATGTGAAAGCACGCACGTGATGGAGATTTACCGCTGATTACAGAATGGCTTTACTGACAAGATGCGCGTTAAATATCGCATGCGATTTATCGTGCAGCCCTACTTCTGTCTGACCTCAGCTGATCCTGGTGTTCCCTAGTGTTTACATCCACATTCCAGTGCACGGCATGTGAAGCTGACCACTTAATTCCTGTGCTTGATCATACTGTATTCACACACCTCTTCAAAAACTCAAAAGGAAAAAAAAGGAAGAGAAGTTGTCATTTTTTCAAGTGCTGTTCTTGGGCCTTCATAGGCTTTTCTGGGTTTGAATCTCAAACTATGAGCAGCTTTGCTTTTCATTTTTTAGGAACTTTTTGTATCTTTCCTCAGAAAGAATCTGCCCTTTTTATGTAAACATAATGCTGTATCAAAGGTTAGACTAAATAATTTACTGCATAGTAGTATTGAATTATTTATTACTTTCATACAAGTTGTTGTAGCATAGCATGCTGTGTTGTCACTACATCCTACATTAATATATAGAGTATATGCTTTTTTCTTTCCTTTTCTTTTCTTTTCTTTTCTTTTTTTTTTGGAAGGCCCTGTGATTACCGTGTTGCAAAAAACACCCTTGGAATGAACAGTTTCACATTGTATTATGCTCTGTAAATAATAATGTATTGTTATGTTATAAATATATTTTTTAATTTAATTAATGACTCAAATTTCAATGATTTTTTAAAATGTTATGAATTGATTTGATTTGATGCTAAATGCTAGATGCTAGAATCCAGAACAATTAAAGTGGAAAAACACATTTTTGGGGGGAAAACAGAAAAATAATAATGAAAAAAATGGCCTTATTCTTGTCTTGCAAACTTAACATTTAATTTCTTCTTCTTTCTTTTTTTTTTTTTGTGATGTATTGGTTGGTTATTGAAGGATCATGCGACTAATGACTGCTGAAAATTCAGCTTTGCCATCACAGGAATAAATAATATTATACAATATATTAAAATTATATATTAAAAAGACAGTTATTTTAAATGGTAATAATATTTCACAGTATTACTGCTTTTACTGTATTTTTGTTCAAATGCAGCATTGCTGTTGCAAATTTATAAACCAATATAGCAAATTATAAATCAGTAATTTATGTTTTGCATTATATCATGTTGTTGTTTTTTATCAAAAAATATATTTTTTGATCATTTTCAGATAACACTGCAAAATAAAAATAAAAAACTAGTATTGTTTAATAAAATAAAATAAAAACAGTAAATCTTTAACTTGAAATGTTGCTAAAAAATGAATTTGAACTACTGGTCCGACTGGGCCAACAGAAAAACTCTGGCAGTAGAGTTCTCTTGTGAGCTTTATATCCTCTGTGGCTCTTCACACTGATTGAAATCACTCAGGAAATGGCCTCCTACATGCAACACAAGGTTTGAGTTGTGAAGTATTTTTCTCCACTCTGGCATCTTCTGCGTCCTTCACCATTATCACGTCTCCACCACAGCGTGTCCACGCCACCCACTTACACCCACACAGCAGCCTCGTAACCATGGTTATATCTGGCCTTGCTGTCAAAAATGAAAACACTTCTCCTCATTCTGCATATAGAGGAGACAAAGACATCCTTGGAGTACTTGTGCTTTTCTCATCCACCTGAGTCGTGGCGTCTATCCTGAAACGAAACATGTTGCCATATTTTGCCGACTGATCAGCACGCTTTGATGTTAATTTATGTGTGAGTGTCACTTGTTGTGGACAGAAACATTGTTCAAGAGCAGGACAACATGTTTTACATCTGAATTGGCTCAGTGTTTAAAAGCCCTTGAGGCTCATGGTGGTCTTGAAACATTCATTTGGAGATAATAAAGCATGAGATACACCCACATCACAGATGTTTGCAACATGTGTGGCACCAAAGCTTTGGCACCAAAAGCTGGAACACAAGCTGCAGGAAACCTAAGATTACGTTTGAATAATTCCTAATTACTAATTAGTATCAATATCTGAATCATAAGACTTTTAGTTGGTTCATTCGAGCACACGAGACGATTCATTTATGATAAGAAGATCCCACCTGGTAAATGCAGTTATGCAACAGTGAAGAACGGAGTGGTGTTGGAGGAGATGCAGAGAGGATGGAGAGCGGAGGGTCATGGAAGTTCACTCTTCCAAATACATTACCATGGCAACAGGGCCAAGGGAAGGCTCTCATGCTTAGAGGAACTCCCAGTTTCCTCAGAGCTTTAGGAAGAAGATGTTATAAAGCCTTCCCACCACTTGCGCACACATTGTATAATAACCTATTCCTACATGTTTTCTGCCTTAAGGATGGGAACATGTTTCAGTATGCAAGAGCTTTGGCTTCTACTGATCACAAGTGAGAAATTCTTGTTGTAGACATCTTAATGTATAATATAAAGCAAGCCTAAGACTGTAGCAGTGTTATTTTAGTATTATTTATATACTATTGTAGTATTTATTAATATTTTGAAGGGTGTTTGTATTTTAGTTTTAGTAATTTTATGTACTATTGTCATTTATTTTGGGGTCAAAGACGTTAAGATGTCCGCATCAAAAGAAATTGACAAACGTGATTTTATGTCCATAGAAAGCACATTAAATGTAAGTAAAGTGTCTACTTTTAAGGTTTCAAATAAGTTTTTGGAGAATAAAATGTCAAAATGTAGTTTAAATAATGTTAAATTGTCATTCAGTGTAACACAACATATGTAAAAATTCAAACAACATGCTTATTCTGACTTGTACATAAAATATATAAAAGAATAAGGGAGCATATAAAATTTTTGTTGTGTTTTAAATGAGTAAAAAATTATTACTGGCCAATGGGCAAAACCTAGGATAGTGGCAAATTTAAAAAATGTAAAATTACAACTAATTAGTATTTGAGGTGAAAGTAATTAGTCTTTTAATATGTCATAAATAGATTTTTGTTGTAAATATGCCTGACAAGATTGTTACACTGAATGACATTTTAGTGGGTGTCTTCTGTAAGTCAGGGAAAAATTTATGATATTTATTTTTTGCTCGGTGAAACAAAAACAAAATTGCAATTAAATTAAACAGAAAACTTTTTAATTTTTGGGGGGAAAACATATAATATATGTTAATATAATATATATAATTAAAGGCATATACACAGTTGTGGTCAGAATTATTAGAAGGCTGTGAAATAAATCTGAATTGTTCAACCTTTTGATCTTTCATTTAAAAAACTCACAAAAATCTAACCTTTCATTGAAGTAAAACAATTAAAAATGGGAAAATCTCATTATGAAATAAAGGTTTTTCTCCAATACACGCTGGCCACAATTATTGGCCCCCTTTTATTTAATACTTTTTGCAACCTCCATTTGCCAAGATAACAACAGCTCTGAGTCTTCTCCTGTTATGCCTGATGAGGCTGGAGAACACCTGACAAGAGATCAGAGACCATTCCTTCGTACAGAATCACTCCAGATCTTTCAAATGCCGAGGTGCCTCTCTTCTTCATTTCACCCAGCTCATTTTCTACAGGTTTCAGGTCTGGGACCTGGGATAGCCATGGCAGAACCTTCATTTTGTGCTCAGTGACCCATTTTTGTGAAGATTTCTAGCAGAGGAAGTCAGGTTTTGTTTTTTGTTTTTTGTTTTTTATCTGTTGGTATTTGATAGAATCCACAATGCCATGTATCTGAGCAAGGTGTCCAGGACATCCAGCAAAAATATAGGCCCACAACATTTTAAAGATCCAGAAGTGGGTAGTTTTTTTTTTTTTATACCTGTGAATCCCTTTAAACCCATCTCATGTGTGCCAAAAAGCTCTTTTCTAATCTGTTTGCACATGTTTGAAATTCCAGTAGTGTCTGGCTACTGAATATGCTGGAGTTTGTTTCCAAGCAACTTGTGGTGAAGTAGGTACGGTTTTATGTTTCTTTTAGGGTTTCTGACGCCAAGACTCAACTAATTTCTGAAGTTTTACAGCTGTGATCCTTGGCCACTCAAACTATCCTCCTTGCCGTGCATTAGGACAATATAGACATACACCCTCTTCCAGGGAGATTCGTAACATCTCCAGTTGATTGCAACTTCTTAATTATTGCCCTGATGGTGGAAATGGGAATTTTCAATCGTTTAGCTATTTGTCTACAGCCACTTTCTATTTTGTGAAGCTCAACAATCTTTTGCTGCACATCAGAACTATATTGTTTGGTTTTATTCATTCTGATGAATAATTAAGGGAATTTGGCCTTTGTGTTATCTCATATTTATACTCCTGTGAACCAGGAAGTCATGGCTGGACAATTTCATGTTCCTAGTCACCCTGGTGAGTTAAAAATTAAATGTAAATCAGCCACAACATTAAAACCACTTACAAGTGAAGAGAAATTATTATATCATTACAGTGGCACCTGTCAAGGGGTGGGATATATTAGGCAACAAGTGAACAGTCAGGACATGTTCAGAAGTCTTGCAGAGTCCATGCCTCGCCTCATCAGAGCTATTTTGGCAGCATGAGAGGACCTACACAATATTAGGCAGGAGGTTTTAATGTTCTGGTTAATCAGTGTATATACTTTTTAAAAATCCTTTATATTTTCTAGATCTTTTGACAGTTTAATTCTTCAGCCAGGACTTGATTCCTTGGATGTTTGATTTGGAGTATCTCTAGGCAGTTATCTATTTGTTCCGGCTCCTGTTTTTCATCACATTGCTTCCTGTATGATAATATTCATTTCCTCTCTCTATGATCCTCCTCCTTTTATCTCTGTGTCCATCTGTAGCCCGAACGCCTTCAAGGGACTCACTACTCTGTCCAGTCTGACATATGGAGCATGGGTCTCTCTCTGGTGGAGATGGCCATCGGACGCTTCCCTATCCCACCACCTGATGCCAAAGAGCTGGAGCAAATCTTTGGTCAGCCCCTTGAGGGGGACCCCTCGACCAGCGACGCCTCCCCTAAACCCAGGCCCCCTGGTCGACCTGGCAGCTGTGAGTGTCTTTGTTATCCTGTAGGCAAGAACATGGGAATGCTTGGAGAAACTGATCAGTTATGTTAGAGTTGTTTCTGAGAATATAATAATCATTACATAATAAAGTGATTTTTTTTTTGTATCTGTTTGTCTTTTCAGCATTCGGTCCAGACAGCAGACCTCCCATGGCTATATTTGAGCTGCTTGACTATATTGTCAATGAAGTAAGCTTTCAGTGGTACTTAAAGTTTTATGGCAGTGAATTAATTAAAGTGAGGATTTATTGGCTGTTTCACTTAGACTTAATGGAGCTGTTTCTCTTTTTTCAGCCACCTCCCAAGCTACCAAGCATTTTTGGAGCAGAATTTCAAGACTTTGTTAACAAATGGTAAGCAAAAACTGCACTGTAGCTCACCTAGAAGAGCATAGTGCATGTAATGCCAAGGTCATGGGTTCGATTCCCAGGCAACTGGCATACTGATAAAAATGCAGAGTGAAGTGAAAACTGCTTTGGATAAAATCATCTTCTAAATGCACAAATTCTTCTTCAGTGGTGCTTGCTGCCCCATCTAGTGGTTGAACTAAAACCAGTTTGAAAACTGTTGCTGCACTATAGAGCCCCTAAATGGATATGGTGATGGGAGAAAAAAAATTGTCGCTAAACTTTTGTTACCCAATAAATGTTGCAATTTTTAGTTTTCTCCCAAAAGTATTGCATTTCTCCGAAAGAGTTAGCGGTTGTGCCGAAATTTTCTTTGATTACTTTTTGAGATGCTTTCTTGGGGAAACTTTGCGTTTGCTCATAAAACTTTTGCGAGAGAACGCAGTTTCTCGGGGGGAATGCAAAACTTTTGCAAGAGAACGGAAAACATTTTTATAATATAAAATATAATATTTTTTCCATCACCATGTCCTCTTAGGGTCTCTGTACTAGACAGACCATTGTATTGACATTTTTAATCCTGTAGCTCATTGATTTCCCGTGTTTTGCGCAGTTTAATCAAAAATCCAGCAGAAAGAGCAGACCTCAAGCAACTGATGGTAGGAACAATTATTTTCTAAAAATATATTTTTCCTATGAATGCACCTCATGCACCTCTAATAATCTTTTTTCAGGTCCATCCCTTCATAAAGAACTCAGAGGCAGAGGAGGTTGACTTTGCTGCTTGGTTATGCAGTACCATTGGGCTAAACCAGCCAGCAACTCCAACTCACAGTGTGGGAATGTGAGAGCAGCCATCTTTTTCTACGCCAACCATTTAGTGTTTCTTCACCTGCAACATCTCCAGTTCCACCCTGCCAGTCAGTCCAGAGGCCAACAGCAAACTACTGCCTCCAGAATACACCCCTTCTTATTTTAGATGTTGTCTTGAGTATTAACAAGCATACTGCTGTAATTAACGATGCATTACGCCTCTTGTTAGGTCGCTTGAAATCTGTTCTGCCAAATATTGGTGGTTAAATGCTTTGATAGCATCCTTAAGACCCATATTACAAAAACGTTCATTTTTTATAACAATCTAATTTTAATGTTGATTGCAAAAGTGATCAACGGCTGAAATTACACCGCAAAAACTTAAATGTTAGGGATCCTCCTAAATGTCAACTTGCTGTGATCATGATGTTATACTTTTTAAACTCTTAATTCTAAGGTTTATGGCTGCACTCTGAAGTGGTTACATTATTTCATTGTAATGTTTTTGGTTCTGCTTTATTTCAGTGGTGAATTTACAGCCTTTAACTCACAAAGTGAGAGAAAATCAGTCATAACTTATACAAACTTGTATATTATAATAAAAGATTTATTTAACAAATGACAACTGATGGAATGTGGCAGTGCTTAAGTGGTATGGGTTCCCACTCTTTCATGAACACCAGATTCAAGGACTTTCAAGGACTTTTTAAAGCACCATTTATTTTATATCAAGCACCTATTAAATTCACACCCCAGCATATGTAGTGTCATGAAAGACCTTACAGTACTTAACAGTTCACTTACACTTAACATTTACATTAAACATTTCAGAGTAATAATGTTTTGAATGTGTAGGTTTCATAAATTTAGACCATTTTGAGGAGTCGTGTTCAAAGGAATTTAATGAAATCAGTACTGGTAGTATTCAAATACAATTTCTAAAATATTGATAAAACTGGTTTTGATGTAGTTCTTGTACAATATTTAAATTTGAAAGAATTTCTCAATTTTTTAATTTTTTAATTAATAAAAAGTGGTTAAATGTTGTAATAACATGGTAAAACCTGTTAACATTAAAGATTTGCACATTCACTCAAAA